ATTGAGAAGGAAAATACCCGTTATAACGTCTGGTTCCTTCAATGCCTCCTCTGCTGTGATTTGAAAAGCCCTGGCTCGTGCCCTGGGCACTTCCTCTTTTTGGGTTGAAGTACCCACTCTCGTTGGTTGTTGTACTGAGGCTTTGTTTTCAACCCTTTTCATACGGGGACAATCTTTAATATGATGCCCTAACACTCCGTAGGAAAAACATGCAAGATTTCTCTGGGGACAATTCATCCTAACGTGACCCGCTTCACCGCAACAAAAACATTTAATGACAGATCTATCTGAATCACACCGGCCTTGGTGTGTCTTTCCGCACCTCCGACAGTCTCTTGGTGTGCTCGACTATAACGTATAGGCTTGAGAAGGAGCACGAGGATTGTTCTGAGTCTGCGTCCGTCTTGGTGTAAATAGTCGTGATGGTTTATGTGCCGATGGCGAAAAGATCCTGTCAGTTCTTTGCCATTTTGGTGTGGAAACGGTATCATCAGGTATCGTTAAATCATGTTCGCGGCGAAGTCACGGATTTCTCGTCATAGCCCATCGACGAAATGGTCAATCTTGTCTTGGTCAGAAGTCAAAAACCGTTGGGCAAATCGTGCCTTTCGGTTAAATTTAGTCTCATACTCAATCACAGTCATATTTCCCTGCTTCAGATCCATAAATTCTTTCTCAAGGCGTCTCTGAAGGTCCGTTGGGCAGTATTGCTCAAAGAATAAAGCTCAAAATTCTTTCCACGTCATATCCTCTTGGGTAATTGGGTCAAGAGATTCGAACGTATTATCCCACCACACCAGTGCTCGGTCAATGAACATCGCGGATGCGTACTTCACCTTATCATCATTGGGTACTCGAGTGATCCGAAACACCTTTTCGGTATTCTGTATCCATTGCATTGCAAGTATAGGATCTGATTGTCCTGTATATTCTGTCGCTTCATTGCTTCGAAAGGTTTTAAATGAGACTCGTTCGATTTTGGTTTGTGGCACGTCGTCATTAATTGGACCCTTACCTCTATCATCAGGTTTTAAAGCATTATTACGTTCACGATCTTCCGTTAACCGTTTCTCAAATTCATGTCGTTGCTGTTATAACGTTATTTGAAGCTGATCTGTCATATATTTCATGAGCCTTTCGGTACGAGGGGATATCGGGGCATTCTCATTATTACTGGTGTTACCCGGAATATTTTCTCCGACATTGGGGTCCAGTGGAGTATGGCTTGCCTCGTCATGATCCGACATCGAGCTGAAAATGTAACATAAATATATCAATTATAATTCTAATCCCAGGTCCCCCATCCATCTTAGGTCTTTTTTATCGGTCCATATCCCGTATAATCATCACTTAGTTACTATATGATCTCAATGCTTAGGTTTAAGTCTAAATACCATTTCTGATATTCAGATCGCTTAAACCGCGGCTCTGATACCATAATTGTAACATCGGTTACGCTATTTGAATAAAAAGAAACTATTTATCCAATAAATTTTCCATAAAACAATCTCAAAGCAAATACGGGATATATGTTATAAATTTCCACCAAAAACAAAATAACATAGTCTGCAACCGACGATTTTCGGTTCTATAAATCAGATCCATAAAATACAAATATATCTACCCAAAAGTATTAAATACCTAGATCCAACTCAAAATGATATATGCACAACGAGTACCAAAAAGATGTCCAGGATCTGAAATCCTACAAGCAGATATAAACTGTCTTATCTTTCACTTGGGCAGCTACCGACTTTCCTGAAAGAAAATTTATTCTAAAAAAATAAGCGACAAGACTTAGTAAGATTATACCAAAGCTTATAATTATATATATTATAAGAACAAAACAAATCATAGACGAAACAGAACAGAAAGAATCGCTTAATTATGAATTAGACCATTAACTCAAAAATAATCTGATAGAATTTTGTCGAGAGCGCAGTACAACTAGAGGGCCTCTGGTCTATACAACCAGAGGGCCTCTGGTCCCGAAAGACTTAGAGCCCATAGCACAATACAACCAGAGGCTCTAGTCTATACAACCAGAGGCTCTGATCGTCGAGAGGGCCTCTGGTCCCAAAGGACTCAACACAATACAACCAGAGGCTCTGGTCTATACAACCAGAGGCTCTGATCGTCCAGAGGGCCTCTGGTCCCAAAGGACTCATAACACAATACAACCAGAGGCTCTGGTCTATACAACCAGAGGCTCTGATCGTCCAGAGGGCCTCTGGTTCTAAAGGACTCATAACACAATACAACCAGAGGCTCTGGTCTATACAACCAGAGGCTCTGGTCCCGAAGGACTTGAATTCCAAACTTGGCCATTTAATCACAGCATAAAAACTTTGAATCTTCCATCCTTAACATACAGTGCTTATTAAGACTTTTTAGGATAATTAAAATCAATTACAGCACTAAAAAAATGTATCCAACACCAAAGGTATCACTACCAAAATAGAGTACACATGAGCACCACACCCCTCTTTGTCTACAGGGCCCGTGCAAAGTATTCACACCCGGCTCCTTACCAATCAGGATACGTGAATACAACAATCGGTATGCCACACCCAACCTCCCTCTCCTTGGGATACGTGGACATACACCATGCTACGGCTTATCACACGAAGTAATACTCGTAGATCATGGTTTATCAAAAAGCCAAATAAACAGTCTCGGATCCGGACTCAACCACAACGTAAAAGAATTAAGAGATACCAAAACACAGTTAGATATAAATTTACCTTACAAAATAACACATGCAAAATCAGCAACTTTTCAGTAAGAGTTCATATACATATACTATATATAAGTATAAGTTCRGTATAAACTCACAGTGCTTTATTATAAACGACCGAACGCGRAAACATCCAATTCCAACCAACAATAGCATTAAACCTTCAGAAGCCCTAAATACCCTTAAAACAGCCCCTGGAGTAAACATTTCAAGTATCAAAAACCAACTATATCCCAACCTTAAGTTATACACTTTAGATCTTGATTATCCCATTTACACTTTCTTGTACAGCCCTCTGTTCAACCCCTGTTTTTACCACGCTTAGACCCAGATTTAGCCATATAACTCACTGCATGTTACCGATCTACCCAATTTAGCTTCAAATTCACACATTAATCAACATTATCTTTTACAATCTTTCAAATGCAGAACCTAGCCTCTAATTTAACACTTCTACTTGAAATAAACTTGTAATTAGAAGCATACCTTTGATGATTAACACTTAATCTTCAAGAATCTAACATGGATCATAAAGGATTGAAGGATTAACCTTAAATGTGTGTAAATCGCACCTTGAGTGTGGGTGAGAGTTCTGGACTTAGATGATATGAAAAATGGGCCAAAACTCCAATTTATAATGCTAAAACTCGAGTTGGGCCAGCTTGGCCCGTCTAGGTACCCATTTAGACCATCAAATTCCCACTAAATCATAAGCTCACTTTAACCCAATAATTAATTATACTAAGCAAATAATTGGGTATATTAKAAATTGGATGTTACATTTATCATGTATTTGATTATGTTTATCTGCAGTTAGTTACACGAATTCAGATATGGAGCTTTAATAAGTTGTACTTATGCATAATCTACTTGCAATCTTGAATTTTAATTAATATGCATTAATAAACAGTACTTTACGCATAAAAAATGGTTTTTAAGAGTTTTTGTCAAATGCTTTATAATATAGTATAGATGAAATGGAACTGGGTTAGGGATGAAATCGAATCCGTATTCTTCAAAATTTGTTGGCGATGAAATCGGATAGGGATGAAATCGTTTAGGTAGGGAGTTGGGTTTCTGTTGGCGATGAAATAGGATAGGGATGATAGAGGTTGTCTTTAAGAATTTTAAGAGTTTTAGCCAAATGATTTATATATATATTGAAGGCTTGTTGACGAAGAATATGTTGATAAGTATACTTTGTTCGGTCAAATACCTAAAAAAGAAAAGGTTAAAAACTGTTGGTTATTTGATACACAAAATAAAAGTTCATAAGTACTCAGTACTTAAGAAGTAACAACACCGATCAACCTAATTTTGATGTTCTAAAGTGGTGAAAAGAGAATGCTAGTATTTAGGGTTCTTTCTATAGTAACATAACACGTCTTTGCTATTCTCGTCAACTACGGTTCTTAGTATCTGTATTTTTATTAACAGATACGTCATTGATTTATATAAAAGTCTTTTAACTGCTAAAACTATGAAAACACTTATTTGTATTCAAAATTGATTTTTTCAAACACTATCCATAAGTAGAAACAAAGACAAGGGTCAGTTTACTAAATACTTAACCGGTAAGTGTAGATCGGATAACTTTCCTCACCTGATGCACATGACAATGACTGAAAATCTTACCCGGTAAGAGCGATGATAGAGATAGAGAGTCTTACCCGGTAAGTGATGGTGAAGACTCTTACCTTGGTAAGCGTTTACCAGGTAAATTGTTGCATACAATACCGTTTTAATATGCTACAATTTTATTTGGTAAAATAGATTATAGTGTTGACTTCTACTAGTAAATGCTTACCGAATAAGTATTTGAGTAAATGGCCCTTAAACATGTAAATAGTTGCATGTAAATAGTTGCATTTATATTTAAGTTTTAGTTTTTATAAAATAATAGAAAAAAAACTCTCCAATCTGATACCCTTAACCCTAAATCATTTGTAAGACCATTACAAGGTTATTATCGTCATTTACTTAATTAAACTCACTTCGAGAGTTCGACTTAACTTCACACGGCTTAAAGCCCAAACTTAACGGAAGCCACATGCTTACGTCATAGCATCATTTTGACAAAACGTCACCTATTTTTCACCCACGCGCATACATGCGCGTATAAACACATATAGCTCTTTTTCTAATTCGACGCGTAGTTAAGCGCGTGATCGTGGACTCCAATCTCCCAAATATTTTGGCATTTTATTACCACTTGCCCTTTTTTTAATTAATAATAAAATATACATTTTCTTTTTCCTATATTATTGATAGATGTGTTATGGGTTGGATTAGATCTCACACCCACCAAATAACGTATGGAGTCTTCATCTTGGCCACAAAGTTTGCCAAGCAACAGGATCAAAGCTATACAAGAGCTCACCCAAGGTCAACCCTTGATTAACAAGCTTCGAGATATGCGGCCGGAAGAGATCGAGTCCGACCTCAGGTCAGCCGACGGTGTGGTCGGACAGATCTTGGGGATGTTTGATAACACCCTTTCGATCCTGAGCTCCACGGAGATCCCGTATATCCCAACTGGTGATATGCAGTCTTCGGGAAGCTGGGATGGCCAGACGTCAGAAGATCATGACGAAACTGTTAAAACTGTAACGCCAGTAAAAACGAAGAGGGGATGTTACAAAAGAAGGTATGTTTTTATTTTTATGATTGATGAGTTTTAACTAATCATGAATTGGTAATAACAAGCTTAATTTATGTGCATATGATGTTAACTGTGTCATACTTATTTTTGAGATTTATTAGATTTAGCTAATGTCAACCATGTGGTGAGTGAAAATTCTCTATGGATATGACATACTCACACATATGCTAATCATATATGTATGTATATGTGTGTATATATATATATATGTAACAAAGTTGTTACTAATTACTTTTGATTTGGATAACACAGAAAAGACTCAACGACATATACGAAATTAGTTTCTAATCCGGTTGATGACGGGTATGCTTGGAGAAAGTATGGCCAAAAGCCGATCCTTAACGCGACTTACCAAAGGTAATAGTTTTTTCCTAGTTAACGTGAATATTTTAGTAAATCTTATCATACAGATACACGCGTTCCAAATTTACTAAGAGTATCTTTTTTCAAATAAACACAGATTCCGAGTTCAGTCAGAATCGCCAGCTATACATATACAACTGTAATGATATTATAATAAGAAATGTGTTTGGCTAATTATGTTTTGTATTTATTAATGTGCAGAAACTATTTTAGGTGCACTCACAAGGTTGACCAAGGGTGTCAAGCAACCAAACAAGTTCAAATGACTGAAGATAAGCCACCAAGGTATAGGATAACCTACAACGGACATCATACTTGCAAGGATTTACTAAGATCTCCTCAAATCATTTTCGATTCTCCGGACCCGAGCAATACTTCGATTATTCTTAACTTTGAAACAAAGGGATTCACTGAGAACAAACAAACCGACACTTGTTTGTCCTCAATGAGACAAAACCGCAAAGAGGGTTTTCCTTCTTTATGGTTGAAACACAACCAAAGTTACTCATCATGGGATCTGACCGCACAAGTCTCGGAGGTTCCTTCAAAACCCGTGTCTGTGATGTCGTCCGGTGTAGACCACGAGGACATGATCTCTTCAGAGGTATATTCGTCAACATGCTGTACTCGTGGGTATGATGAGATCGACGATCTAATCGGCAACAATGTTTTCAGTGACTTATTTGAATTATGTCCCTAGTTGGTTTTTGATTTGGAATTATAGATGGTAGGATGAATATATAATTAAACTTGTTTTATGAAATTGATTTGTGGATTTGGTGATTGGAGTTTGACACCATCCATGAGACATGGGATTTTGTTTACGAGTGTCATGTTTGTATAATTGGAACCAGAAAACCCTAAATCAAAGTAAAAAGAACAGTAAATTTAGGTACTTTCAATGATTAAGTAATCACGTCTGAAGTGAATTAAGTTAAGTTGGTGGTGTATATTTAATTATTGACATACAGGAACTATTGGTGATTAAGGTTGTAAAGAAACCAAAAAAGTTTGAAAGACATATGATCCATAATATATATATATATATATATATATATATGAGTTGGTTCAAATACTAACCAAGATTATCGTGTTAACTTTGTTAACCGATCTTGGTCGTTGATTTGAACATCCAACGGTTGTCATTTATTGAGACTAAAAATTTAATTATTTAATTACCATATTAATAAAAAAATTAGGTTCACAATGGTTTAGAGGGTAGAATTGT